CTGCTGCTGCTGCTGCTGCTGCTGCTGCTGCTGCTGCTGCTGCTGCTGCTGCTGCTGCTGCTGCTGCTGCTGCTGCTGCTGCTGGCGCCTTTGTTCGGCAGCGAGGGCTGCTTGGGGCCTCCAGCGGCGGCGTTGGCGCTTGCTGTTGCTCGGGGGCTGGGCTGGTGGGCCGGCGCAGCGGCTGCTGCTGCTGCTGCATCTGCTGCTGCTGCGCTGCTGCTGCTGCTGCTGCTGCGCAGGCAAGCGGGAGTGGCGTGTGGTGTACAGGGACCCACAGAACGAGTCTAAAAGAAGACAAAAAACTCATTCAATTAAAAAGTATGGCTTCTACGCAGCGAGGTCGAGGGCGGAGGACTTGAGGATTGAGCTCGAGAAAATCAATGGATGGTCAGCCTGCTGCTGCTGCTGCTGCTGCTGCTGCTGCTGCTGCTGCTGCTGCTGGTGACGCCGCGTCGCTGCGGTGTTGGCGCTGCGGGCTCGTTGCTGCAGCTGCAGCAGCTGGAGCTGTTCGGGGGCTGGGGTGCAGCACGGGGAGGGGGTGCCGCTGCTGCTGCTGCTGCTGTGCTGTGCTGCATTGGCTTCGCTGCTGCTGCTGCTGCTGCTGCTGCTGCTGCTGCTGCTGCGTGCAGGCCACTGACTGTGCCCCCGGCGAAGAAGACCGACACCGCAGCGACGCGTTTTATAAATTTCGACAAGACAGAAAAGGAAACTGCTGCTGCTGCGTCAGCAGCAGCAGAAGGAGAGGCAGATGAAGACTTGGCGCTGCCGCCTGCTGCTGTTGGCGCTTCTGGCAGCTCCTCCCGTTCTTCGGCCCGCAGAGCCTCGAAACACAGGCAGCAGCAGCAGCACGACAAGCAGCAGCAGCAGCAGCAGCAGCACGAAGCAGCAGACCCCGCGCATGCGCCTGCAGGCACGCCCACAGCGGCACAGGCAGCACCTGCTGCTGCTGCTGCTGCTGCAGTCGCCAACTCTCCAAGGGGCGCAGCAGGATCCCGAAGGAACACGTGGGATAGCAAGGGATCGAGCCGAGCAAAGCACGAGGCAGCAGCTGCTGCTGCAGCAGGCGAAGCGCCTGCTGCAGCAGAAGCAGCAGATGGGACGCGGGGTCCGGGGTCCGTCAGCACCCGAAGGAAGCGACGCATGCAGCAGCAGCAGCAGCAGCAGCAGCAGCAGCACGTGCCTGCAGTCGTTGAGTGCCCAGTCAACGACACTTCCGTCGCCGTGGAGCCGGATGCTGCTGCTGCTGCTGCAGCTGCGGCTGCTGCTGCTGCTGCAGGCACGCTAAGGGCAGTGCCTGAGGGCAGCCTTCAAGGCATTTCTTTCTTCTCAGGGCCACCTGAGTTGCTGCCAAGTGCAGCAGCAGACACGCTGCAGCAGCACCCGCAGGAGCCGGACGGCTGCTTGGTCGGCGTCGACAGCAGCAGCAGCAGCGCGGAAGCAGCAGCAGCACCCGAGGCAGACAAACAAGGAGATGAAGACAGCTTCTTGCTGGAAGGCCTTGCTGCAGCATCTCTTGCAGCAGATGGCCCTCTGACCCCTCGCTGGGGCCTGCTGCAGAACCCGTGCGAAGCGGAAGAAGTGCAGCAGCTGCAGCAGCTGCAGCAGCAGCAGCAGCAGCGGGACACGCCCTCCAGCACAGTGTACTCCCGCCCAGAGGGCCCCCCCTGCCGCTCAGACAAAGAAGCAGCAACTTGTTCTTTAGGTGACAGCTTTAGCTTTGCTGCTTCTCCTTCGGGTTTCTCGCGGCCGGCGAACCGCAGCAGCAGCTGCAGCAGGGGGGCAGCAGATGAAGTGCGCAGCAGCAGCAGCAGCAGCAGCAGCAAGGGAGATGCAATGCAGTTCCTGATGTCGCCTCCAGCGGGCTTACTGACTGCGTCGCCGCTGGGGCCTCTGCTGCCGGGCCTGGGGAGCCGCCGCGCAGCGGACGCAGCAGGAGACGGCGTCTCTGCTGCTGCTGCTGCTGCTGCTGCTGCTGCCTGCGGCGGCGCAGTGCAGCGCAGCGGGGAGGGGCTCGAGAGCCTATCTGCGCAGCCCTCCTTTTCTGGCCTGCAAGAGGCCCTTGTCAATTTTGTCTATCTGCCTTCTTGTCCAGCAACTCCGCTGCTGTCTTCAGCGCCAGTGTCTTTGCTGCTGGACCCCGTGGAGCAGCAGCAGCAGGAAGCGGGGATGGCGAGCAGCAGCAGCAGCAGCAGGGCGGGGGGGGCTGCTGCGGTGCGCGCCGCTGCTGCTGCAGCCGGAGCAGCAGCCTCTCCCGCCGCCGCAGCAGCGAGCTCGATCCTGAAGGCCGCCGCAGCAACGACCGCGACAGCAGCAGCAGAGGCAGCAGCAGCAGCAGCAGAGGCGGAGGAGGCCTTGGAGGAAGACGGGGAGCTGCGGCTGACGAGGAGCAGCAGCAGCAGCGGCTCGCAGCAGCTGCCTGCTGCTGCGCTGGCCGCGCTGCTGTCGCCCTCCGCCGTGGGCCTCGACAGAGAAGAAGCAGCAGCAGACAGAGGCAGGGAGTCGGGGGCCCCCGGCGGGGAGGAGTTGCTGCTGCGGACGAGCAGCAGCAACTCCTGCAGCAGCAGCAGGCAGCCGCCGAGCGAGTCGCAGGCGAGCGCGGCGCAGGCGGCAGCAGCAGCAGCAGCAGCAGCAGCGGAGCCGCTGCTGTGCAGCAGCTGCAGCAGCAGCAGCGGCTGCTGCAAGTCGGGGAAGGGCGCCTCCGGAGGGGCCCCCGTGTGCAGCCTGGGGGTTTCGGGGGCCCCCCCCGGGCCGGGCTCGGGGGCGGGGCCCCCCGGGGCGTGGGGGCCCCCCATTTGGCTCTCCGTGATGAACGGACGCCCCGGAGGCTGCTGGGGGCCCTCCCCTGTGCGGCGAAGTGCAGCAGGGGCCTCCACCCCCTCCCCCCCGCTGCGGCTGGCTTCCTTCAGAGCTGTGGACATAGTTTTGTCTCCTCCTTATTTGCTGAAGTCGAGAAGTGGAGAAGAGGGGCCCCTGCTGGCGCCGCTGACGCCCCCGCAGACCCAAGAGGGGCCCCTGGTGTGCAGCTCGTGGACTCCGTCGCTGGGGCTGCCTTCGCCGCTGCAGCAGCTTTCGGACGAAGTGCTGCTGCCGCTGAGCAGCCGCAGCAGCAGCAGCTGGGAGAAGGGCTGCGCCTCCCTTGCTGCTGCTGCTGCTGCTGCTGCTGGCGACCTCGACCCCCCCCAGCAGCACGACGTGTGCGCAGCGCCAGCTGCAGCAGCGGGACCCGCAGGTGCGCAGGCTGCCGACGCTGCCGCCGCTGCTGCTGCTGCTGCTGCTGCAGCAGCAGAAACTGTCGGGGCCAACACCATCCTCAGCAGAATCCGGCGCCACTTGCTGCCGCTCGAGGCTGAGCCGTGACCCCGCGGCTCTCGCCGACACAGGTGCAGCAGGAGCTGCTGCAGCAGCGCCAGCTCCTGCAGCAGCTGCAGCAGCAGCGCCAGCTCCTGCAGCAGCTGCAGCAGCTGCAGCAGCTCCGTTGCTGCAGGTATGTGTTCAGTGCCTGGGGCAACGCCGCGCAGCAGCAGACCCCACTCAATGTACGGAAGCAGCAGAGCGCTCCGCAGCTGCAGCAGCAGCACGGGGCGCTGCTGCTTCTTAGTAGGCGGAGCCCCTGCGGCTTTTTCAAATGGCGGGCCGGAGGGCCAGCTAGCTAGCTAGCTGCTAGCTAGCTAGCCAGCTAGCCACCTAGCTACTCGCTGTCGCGGGCCCCCTAGGACTCAGGCAACAACTTGATACACTTGCGCATTCTGGACTTTTGGGGCTGTCAGGTCTTCGTGGGGCCTCTCGCAGCGCATGCACCGCCAGCGCGGTACTTCCGCGGGCTTGGTTTCCCGCTTATCTACGCATGCATGCATGCATGCATGCATGCATGCATGCATGCGTGCATGCATGCATGCGTGCATGCATGCATGCATGCACGGGGATGTGCGCCAATACACCGCGTGCGCATGCGTGCCGTCGAGCATGCATCATTAGCTACGCATGCGCATGCGTTTCTGCATGCAGTGTTCTATCCACAAAGTGCTTGCTTGCTGCGACTCTAGATGCTTGTGTGCGTAGAGTGGGCATATATGGGTTTAGGTAGATGCATGCGTGCAGCCGGGCTGCATGCGGGTGCATGCATGCATGCATGCATGCGCGCATGCAGGCTCGTGCCTGCGCATGCATGCATGCATGCATGCATGCATGCGCGCATGCGTGCATGCGCACAGTGGACGCGACTGCGGGTGGGCGCGCCTGCATCAATAGAAACATCGTCCGAGCGCGCCTGTGTCTTAATGCATGCGCTCGCATGCATGCATGCATGCATGCACGCGTGCATGCGTGCATGCGCATGCATGCAATGCGCCGTGCATGCGTTTGCGCATGCACAGTTCGTGGGCCCCATCCGTGTGTCTTGTCGAGAGCGACGGCGCTGCTGCTGTTTGACTGCAGCGTGGCACTGGGACTTAGTGTAGCTATATGGCGCCTACTTTGTGTAGCTATTTAGCTAGCTAGCTTGCCAGCTAGCCGGCCAGCTAGCCAGCTAGCCAGCTAGCCAGGCAGCTCGTCAGGCACGCAGCAAGAGCTGCGGGGCTGCGTGAGAGGGACTGTTCTCGTGCAGCTGGCCAGGAGACAGAAGTCTAGAACATGTGTCTCTGCTTCTGCGGAGAGCTGGGGGCCCCCAAGGGGGGCCCCTCGACATTAGCACTTTTGGTGATTGTTTGCATCATTTATTAGCGCATTTTGAAGGGACGGGACTTCCTAAGACTCTCTGTCGCTCCACATTTCTTTATCTGTGCCTCTTTTTATTTTTATTCGTCTTTTCCTTTTTTCTTTTCTCGAGTTTTAGCTCCCTTGCCGCCCTTTAGCAACTGCCTCAGCTTCTCGGCTAGCTGGAGCTGGCTAGTTGCAGCCAGCTAGCTGCAGCTAGCCAGCTGGAGCTAGCTAGCTGCAGCTGACCAGCTGAGGCCAGCTAGCTGCAGTGGACCTTGTAGCTGTTGTGTGCTCCCCGTGGCAGCAGCAAGCTAGCTGCGCCTGCCTGCTGCCCGGCAGCTAAGCCGAAGCCCCCACTGGCAGCAACTGCTGCAGCAGCTGCTGCAGCAGCTGCAGCAGCTGCTGCAGCTTCTGGGGCGGCCGTTGCTGCTGCTTGCAGCTCTAAGGTGAGGGGGGCGAAGCCTCTAGGCCAGGAATTGGAATTTGAGACGGGCAGCCTAACGCAAGCTCTCCCGTGGAAGGCCCTCCAACAATTCAGCAAAGAGAAAAAATGCTTTGCGTGTTTTATAGCTGCGCAAACGGAGTGCCGTGAGGTGTATGTACACTGGGTTGGCGCCGAGCACGGGGGGCGGCGCGGCGCAGAGGCGCGGGGCTGTTGAAACGCAAATGCAGGCAATATTATATTATATTTTGTGAAATATTTATTTAATTAAATTAAAAAAAGAAGAAATAAAGAATAGGTTTGACTGCTTCCGCAGCTTTGCTGCCTCCGGGCTGGGCAGACCGCTCTGGCTCAGGCCGTGACAGCAGTGAGGGCTCTTGGGGGCCGCCGCGCGCACACCGCCCCCGTTTTCCGGAAAAAACCCTTTATATTTCTGAAATATGAATTTCTTGCGAATTATAATTCATTTATTGCGCAAATAAAGGGCTTATTGGGGCTGAGAAAGCCCTGGGATGCCAGGCGCCGCGCGGGCATCTGGTCCGGAGGTCACCCCAATGGCTATCGCAGAGGAGGGGAGGAACAGCTCATTCTCTCCTTTGCTAATTTCTGATTATTTTCAAGTTGAATTAAATGCAAACTTTTAAAAAGTTAGGAGACGCAGAAAGGCTCATTTCAGAGAAGTTTGCGGCTCGCGGCTGCGGCGCACGAGCTGTCCGTACACCCGGAGTGACTGCCCGCGGCGCGCCCAACACAAGACTTCCGCCTTTTCTTTTAACTTTTTCTTTTCTTTAAGAATGCATTCATCAAGTTTTTGATATTTGCACTGCTTTCCGTCGAATGCATTCTCCGCAACATGCTGCGGCTGCCCTTCTAGCCTTGCTGCTGCTACCTGCCCGGACACTAGGCCGCCGCCCGTGGACTCCCGGGGCCACTTTTCCCAACTTCGACTTTTCTTTGCTTTAATTCGAAACTTAATTTTGAAATAAAGGCCAGCTGGACTGTGGGGCCCTTCGTTGGCCTCGGTGGCTCCGCAGAGAGCGACTCCGGGCTTGCTGCTGCTGCTTCGCCGCCCGCCGCCGCTGCTGCCGCCGCCGCTGCTGCTGCTGCTGCTGCTGCTGCTGCTGCTGCTGCTGCACAGCAGCAAAGGCCTGCCGGACCAGCAGCCGCCCAGGGGCAGACCCATGAGGGCCCCCCCACCCCCAGCAGCAGCCCCAACACCCCC